GGCCCGCCCAGTCACCAGCCGCGACCACCTACGCACGCCCTCCATCCTGCGCCCCCGCGGTGCCCACCTGCGCACGCGGCCATTGCGCGCTGGGCCCGGCTCCAGCTCTTTAAAGAGGAAATGTCATTTCGCTTCTCTCGCTCCCGGGTTCCGGCTCTTCTAAGCTCTCCGGGCCAATGGGGAGGCCTATTAGCCTGGCTCCGCCCCCACCTCACGAACTACTGGCACTGATTGGCCACAATGGGTGGACGTGCGCGCCGGGAAATGTAGTTTCATTGTCTCGCTCCCGCGTGGTCGGTCAGGCGGGGACCAGGCCGGGGTTCCTATTGGCCGGCTGGGGCGCAGGTGGAGCGAAGGGCCGAGCCAGCCCACGCCGGGATTCCTATTGGCCGGTTTGATTGGGGGTGGAGCTCTGGGATTCGGCGGGGCCAGGACCGGATTCCTATTGGCTGGCTCGCGCGGAGGTGGAGCGCAGAGGCTGTACGGAGGCTGTGCGAAGGAACGCCGGGGTTCTTATTGGCCAGCTCGGGAGCAGGTGGAGAGATGGGTGTGTCTACAAGAAAGGATAAATTTTATTGTTTACGTGCTTCTATTTACTCATCCTGTGTTTCTGGCATCTAACAGGTGTCTGCCACCTTATTGATATTATTAAAAAGAAAAAAAGTAAAGCACAAATGAACTAGCATGGGTAACTAGACTTTTGAATATAAGGGTGAGTTACCAGTGAATGGGAAAGAATTTTATTAGAGGGAAATCTACTTAATAAAGGATATTGGGATTTAGATTGTGATTGAGAAATGGAGAAAGACGAAAAGCAATTGATTTCTGTCCACTAGAAATGGAAAGTTGCAAGTTCCCATGCAAATGAACAGGAAGGAAGTGGAGTTTCCCCTAGGCACTTAAGATTGTATGAAAATCCTTAATGCACAGTTCTGCGTTGATGAATTTCATTTTGTTTTTGATTCTGGTAACTTTAAATGCCCATTTTCTATGAGTTCAATTATTAAAATAGTGTTTTTGCTCACAATATTAATGGTATTAAGAAAAATGGCATAACTTATCAGGGCTCCCAGATTTAGCAAATAAATGTGCAGGATATTCATTATTAGAGACATATCTAATTGAAATATTATTTATTGTTAATTTGAAGTTAAACTTATTGGTCTTTTCAGACCTTTTAGAAGAGGGGAGTTTCTACTGAATCCTAAAGGAATTCTCAACTAATTAACCCATAGGTTTGGCAATAGTTTAATTAACTAAAAGAAAGATTTCTGATTGTTTGACCCATAAAGATTTCTAAATGTAAACAAAAAATAGCAATTTATAACTACAAAGTTACAATTATATTTTATTTTACTGGGCAGATGGCATTGCATAGTAAAGATTTCATTATCATTAAGATGCACTTTAAAAACAGAATAAGAAAATATCAAAATTGAGACGACAGTCCTCTTCATTCTCAGTGATCTTCAAGAATATAAATGAGATTCTGCTTCAGGGTTGATACTAAATAGCCAGAGGCTACAGCTTTGTTTTATAATAAGGCGGCTCTAATTTCAATTTTAATAAGAACCTATTAATCGACTGTCAATCTGGAACAGCAGCAGCAACAGAAATGAGTAGTAAGTACTAGATTGTTCTCTGAAGGAATTTTCTCATGTAGTTAGAGTTTAAAGTAAATTCTACTAAGGGTGAAAATTGAAATATCAAACCAGAATATCTGAAGGATGTATATTTATTTCAAATTAGACATTTAGAATTTTATTATTATAATGTTTCTTACCAAGGAGCTAAGTGCAAAGAGAATTGCTATAATCATGGTTGGTTGCCAGAAAAGAAGTCATATATATTTGGTTTTAAGAAGTCTTTACATTTAAATTGCAGCAAAGATGAAGGACCATGAAAAGAGCAGATTTAAAACATGAGAAAATGGCACATGTTTCTTTTTCTGTTTCCACCTGAAGATAACAACTTTTTAGCAATTATAACTGTACCTGGGCTACTGTTGATAATAATATCACACCACACAAGAATGATGGCAGCTTTGATGAAGGCAGTGTCTAAGAATATAGAACCTCACTTCTGCAAATCAATTCTGCGGTTTTCCAATTTCCCTGTTCCGTATCAGCTGAGGCTGTGAAATTGACCAGAGCTATATAAAATGAAAATAAGGGGAATGCTGGGGAGCCCTACCTTCCACCCAATGACATCCTTATGTATTTATACTTCTCAGCCTTCAGCCACAGCCTTCTTGGTTTGCTCAGTGTGATGTTTTTTCTTGCTAAAGACTTTTGTTATGACTGGATTAGTGCTTGGAAAGAAGCAACAAAAGCAACCATTTCAATATGAATTTAATATAGTAGCAGATACTGAATTGTTTTTTCAACAATTTTTTAGAGCTTTACATATTGCATGTGATTTGTTTTTTAAAATACAAAGCTGTATAAATAGGTATTGACAGAAAGTTCACTGATGGGCATTTCCAAACTTTTTTTTTTTTGAGAGAGAGAATTTTAATATTTATTTTTTATTTTTTGGTGGACACAACATCTTTATTTGTATGTGGTGCTGAGGCTCGAACCCAGGCCGCACGCATGCCAGGCGAGCGCACTACCACTTGAGCCACATCCCCAGCCCGGCATTTCCAAACTTTGTTGTGTTTTTTTAATGCCTTCTGAGGTCTTGAAAAAATTCAATGTGGTAATAATTAGAAGGTTGAAGTTTGTGAATCACTAAATCTGGTCATACTGGGAATATTCAAACACATTCATTTATATTTTAAGTATTTGGAATTTAGCATATACATAAAAATGGAGACTGAAACTAGTAGCACAAATATTCAACTCCTCAAAAATATTTATTGCCCCCACGACCACCACCAGCATTCACAATGGACACTATATGAAGCAAGGTTCAGGATGGAAGGAAGAAAAGAAAGCGGCAGAAAGTAGGGGAAGTAAGTTCCTAATTTCAAGGAATTTGTAGTTGATCTATAGAGATGAAATATGTTCAAATAAAAATCAACTGGATTAGAGCCCTTGGAAACCTCTAGTCAGCACAAAGTACATATTTCACACAATGAATGCTGGGGAGAGATCCTGTTTGGCTGGTATGGGGTTTAGACTGGTCAGCACCACAGGAAGACTGCGGAAACAGCGGGCACTTTCTCATTCACTTTATCTTGACTTGGCCTAGAAGATGAAGAATTCACTGTTCATACTTTAATATTGATGGGACTTAGTTCAGGAATTGAGAAAGGGAAAAGAATTATGTGGTACCTATTTTATCTCATTTAACTTCTTGTTTTAACTTTTTAATAACTGTGTTATAAATGAGGAGAGTAAGGTCTGTGGATTTTCAATAACTTGCCCATAGTTATAGAGGGTCTTTGGCTCCAAGGCAACCCACTTTTTGTAACATACACAGGTCCCTGGAAATGATACAGTACTGGAAATGATGTGCAGTAGAATTTTCTCCACAGTATGCACATCTAGTTTTATGTCAAACACAAGGGAAACGAGTGTTGGTCATGAGTGGACAAAACTATTGGTATAGGCTTGATATTTGAATGCTCCAAGAAATTGAAGGAATGGAAAGGCTAGAGGGTAACCACTGAAGTCACAGTGGTAAACTGTATGTGTGTGTGCGCGTGTGCATGTGTGCGTGCGTGCGTGTGTGCGTGTGTGTGTGTGTGTGTGTGTGTGTGTGTGATGCTTGCGTGGTGCTGGGAACTGAACCCAGGGCCTTTGACGTGCTAGGCAAGTGCCCTATTCCTGGGCTACAACCTCATAGCCCTGCTGAACTATTTGAACTTTGTCAAACAAAACTGATAATTTTAGAGGTATAGTAATTAAAGGTTCTTGTTTTTCCAGTACGTAATATCTATACCATGTATATACACCTAATTTATTCAGTGGTTTTCAAACGTAGAATGATTTTGAGAACCAAACCATTGTCGACCCAGGAGACATGAACACTCTTCTCTGTGTGAACCAACGGAATATCAGAGTGGAGAACGACTGTGGTTCCCTCTAACTCCAGTCGTGGTCTGATTTTGTTAAGCTCATGGAATCACTGGGAAGCCTGACTGGAAGGACAGTGGTGGACAGTAGTCTTCGGCAAGTAGACCAAGAACCAAGGAACACAGAGCACAGGCACCAGGGTCGTGACAAGGAGCACCTTGACCATGAAGTGACCTGTGGCTGGTCCTGCAGGCCATCAGATGGCACAGGACAGACACACCGCCAGGCGGGTCATGAGATTGGCAGGACAGATCCGCTGCTTGCCTGAGCCCCTCTGCAGTGTTTACCATCCACCCCTGGTTGTGCTGCCCAGGCTTTCTTCATCTCCACACTGTGATGTTTTCAGCCAGATGATGCTGTGCTGTAGCAGGCTGCCCTGTGTCATCAGATGTGTGGTAGCGTCCCTCCTCCAGACACGAAACTGAAAACGTCCCCCTGGGGAGTCGTCCTGTCAGGAACCACCCTTCACAAGACATGCCCATGTGCTCTGCGACCTCCGTGCTGTGGGTTCCCACTGCACCAGCAGTTCTGGCTCAGTTTACACAGGTTCAGTGCTGTGACTGGTTAAAACCGTTTTGTTCCTATCCTTTTAAAATATGCATTTCATAGACTTCAATTAATCCCACCCCTCTGTTCATACCACCATGTCTCTTTGGCTCCTAAGTCCCATCTCTCACATTATATAAGAACTCTTTCCTGAAATCACCAGTCTCTTCTCTCATCCTTTCCCAACTTTAAATCATACCGTTATAGACTTGATGCGGGGCCACTCAGAACCTGTCCATCTAGTCTCGTAAAACGTGTCGTGGCGGGGCTGGGGATGTGGCTCAAGCGGTAGCGCACTCGCCTGGCATGCGTGCGGCCCGGGTTCGATCCTCAACACCACATACCAACAAAGATGTTGTGTCCGCGGAAAACTAAAAAAAATAAGTAAATAAATATTAAAAAAAAAAAAAAACGTGTCGTGGTATTTTATGTGCTGTTGTGATGGTGTTACACCGTGACCTCTTTGCGCTTCTTACCTCACCTGGTACCGTGTTTTTGAGATTCTTTTTTATGCA